CCATCAAGAGTCAAATGATTTATCCTCTGCTAATTCAGACATAAAACAATATCAAAATACCAGATTTGGTTTAGCATTGTTAGTAGTTTCTGACCCTTCTTGGAGAAACTTACGATTTTGAAGAAAAATTGGCCAGATTGATCTAAATGCATTTAGGAGCTAAGCTCTATGAGTGACCTAGACCAAATCACAGAATTGTCTATTCATGCAGAATGTTCAAAATAGGGACATAGGACCACAGACAATTTTTGTCTAATTTCTGGGCCAAATCAGGTAGCAGGTGCGAATAAGCGTGGAACCAAATTTGAGTGACAGATAATAAAATAATACCAGCCCATTGAAAGAACCTCAAGGGTGCAGAATTGCAAAAAATGTACCTGTATCACTTCTTTTGAGGGAAAGCTATGCAAATTCCTTTTTTTGATTCCTAGAATCAGACAGACAGGTAAATGCAAGCCAGTTATTCTTCCCTTTTAGTTTTTTTATCTAGTAAAAGATAAAGGTTCCCCTCGCACATATGTGCTAGTCGTTCCCGACTCTAGGTGCTCATCTCTGTTTCAAAGCCGAAGAGCCAGCACTGTCCGAAGATATCTCCATGGTCATGTGGCCAGCATGACTAAATGCCAAAGGCACCCGGAATGCTGTTACCTTCCCACCAAAGGTGGTCCCTATTTTTCTACTTGCATTTTTACATGCTTTCAAACTGCTAGATTGGCAGAAACTGGGACAAGTAATGGGAGCTCACTCCGTTATACATTGCTAGGGATTTGAACCGCCAAACTAGTAGGCCAAAACAAATAGGCCAAAACAAATAGGGCCAAGCACATTCCAAGATGGCTCCACTGGATATGTTTGAGATTACACATGGGAGAAGTTAATGCACTATGCTTTGCTTTGTTTACAGAAAGTTCCTGGTTCAGTCCCCAGCTTGTCCTCTTTAAAAAATAGAAGCAATTTATGAGGCTAATTCCATGAGAATTGCAATCACTGTACTAATGGCCAGTCTCAATAGATGTGCATAAATCTTCTATTTATAAAGGCCATCTTCCTGCATCCTTTTCAATACTCTCAGACAAGGAAAAGCTGTCTATGCCCTACATGAAATATATAAGCTGGAGCATCTGTCTGAAAGCTCCCAAATAGTAAAACCAAAATTAAAACTCTTAGCATACTACATCGAGCCTTTCAAATGTTATTTCTTGGTAACAGGATTAATTAATATTGGAATACCATATGGATTTGCAGTTCAGCTCCCATCTGGGAATTCATGCCTCCTGGATTTAAACCAGGTTGCTCTGATGCTCTTGAAAGCAAGGCTTGGTAAGCAGCCACGTTTCATTTTTGTGATAATACATTTGCAATGGCACAGCATCAGAGAAGCGAAGGGGAGTTATTTAATGGGAAGGCTAAAGAGATGTCTTGATCATGAGATTATCTGTTAGTGATAGGATCCAGAGAAATGATCTAGTGGCCCAAGGACTACATCTGAGTTTTAAGCATTTTTTTTTTTTTTGCTTAGCTATGGAGGATTGAGAATGTAAGTAAAGTTGAGAATACTCACATCATCTGTTGCACAGATCACATTTTCTGAAAGACTTCTCTGCCTTTTAAAAGAAAAAGTATTTATTTTTAAATTAGAAAACTAACACTGCAAATAGTAAAGATGAAGACCAAATTACAGGAATGCCGCAAGGAAGCCATGTTTCACAACATCTATACCTGAGTTTCCAGGTTTGCGGACCGGTGGGAAGGGGGGAGAGGGGAAGGTTCCGTGCAAATGGCCAGCAAGCATGTATGCATGCAAACAACCCTATTTGCACAACCAATGTGTCTGCACATCTGCCTTTCACTTAAGTTGAACATACGCTTGCTCACTGCTTATGCAAGTGAGGATGTGCATGCTGTTTCTGTGGTCCGGTTTCAAATCCCTTATGGCCCAATAGGATGTGGGCCACAGGTTAGGGACCCTTGATCTATACTACAGGACATCTCCATCCTTTGTTCCTCCTTGCCACTCCTACATTGACCTAGCTTGAATGAATTACCTTTTTTGGTCAAATATTCTAAGCTGTTATTTCTTCTGCTTGACAATAAAAGGTATGTGAAGAATTGGAAGGAAGGATGGAGGAAGGGTTGCGTCAATCCCTAGGCTAAGCAAATTCCAAAAATGAATTTGAGCTCTAGCAGAGAATACTTCTCAGGTGTAGAAATTCTCAGGATTGCTTCAAGCCCATGTTCCTTCTTACACAAGAGCTTCCTTAACACCCCCTGCAATTCCGAACATTGTACCTCACTGATTGGCCACACTCCTATCAGGGAAAAATAAGATGGTATTTAAATCCCTCCTGTAGATAAAGACTCTCATCTGTTAAAATGAAATCAAAATAACAAACGAAATTACTCCAATTTAACATGCAGCTTGTTAGAAGAATTTAATAGCAACTTCAGAAGAGCTGTGAATTAGGTTTGGGGCAGGGAGAAAAACGTTTTTGTTTTTTTTTAAAAAAAAATCTCTCCCCATGATCACAATCAACAGCCATTTTCCTCCTACTATTTATAACTTAAAAATGGTGAGGTCCAGCCTATGTACAGGTAGTCTTTGATTTACACTGGTCATTTAATGATTGCTNAAAAAAAATAGCACACACCAAAATTGCTCTTGGGACCACCCACCTTTCAAACTGGTATGTCTTGTTTATCAGAGCATGACCAGGACGGCTGCACTTCACTACGATGGTTTCCTAGCCAAAAAGAAAGGAAGGGTGGAAGCAATTAGAATGTGTATCATCAAGATCTAAACCCAGGAGTGGGGGGAGGTTATATTTAAAGGTTTGCCACAAAGTCAGGATTTTAAGAACTTCCAAATGGTGGAAGCCACATTGCCATTTCCTGTCTCTGAAACATAGATGGGTAGGGTCGCAGCAGGGAGAGATGAGGAGGTGGGTACTGTTTGCTGCAGTTTGAGCTGCCACACACAGTTGTATGAGGTTGACCTTCATCTTTCTCTGTATTTTTACCACAATTACGCATTTAAGTTAGAGGGAAGACCATACAGTGCATCTGTATTCCATAGAAGGCTATGACTCAGGCCTGGGAAGATAAACTCTATGTTACCTCCAACCTGCCTCTTTGCTCTCAGCTCTTGGAGACCAGGAAAGTCTCTCATTTTTGAGGGAGACCGCAGCAGAGAAGTGCATTTGGTTAGGTCTCCAAAACTATCATATTAAAGGCTTTTTCAACATTAAAAAATAATAATAAACAGGAAACAACCTGAAAAAACATTGCCAGATTTGTGAATGAGCCAAACCAGAGGATGGAAAAGATTTTAGTTTTGAAGGGCAAGATAATAATAAATAATGAAAATATTACTCTATTAATACAATTCATATGGCCACCCATCTCAATTTCATGATTCTGGGCAGCTTACAAGTATAAAGTATGCAAAAACAAGAAACAATATTTTTTTTAAAAAAATCATATCACTAGAATCAGCAGCTGTGGTAGAAAATCCATCAATAGCAATTAACAGAGCCACTGCTTGGACTCTACCACATATATGGATCTCAAACCCAGTGACAGAACTACGACTTTTAAGACCTTGCAAAAAGACAGGAGGGTTGGATGTATATCTGCTTCAAAGCATTTTTCTCGAACTCTGTAGAAGACATTTAGAGAATATTTGAGGTGGGGCACTTCATGCACCACATGAAATATTTCTGCGCCAACTCAAAAAGCTCAAACTGCCCAAAGAGCTGCTGATTCAGTTCTACGGGAGAGTTATTGAGTCTGTCATCTGCACCTCTATAACAGTCTGGTTTGGCTCTGCAACCCAACAAGACAGANGGCTTTGAAAAGGAGATGAGCACCACCCCCTAGAGTCGGGAACAACTAGCACATATGTGCAAAGGGAACCTTTGCCTTTAGAGATTCACTAGAATTTCTTTTGGACTGAGTCTTTGTGAGGTATTTAATTTACAACATTAATTAGCTGTTCTACCATCTGGGAGAAAAGATTGTAGGCATACATCATAGCAGACATATAATCATGTCTTTCTTTCCTTGAAATAGTTCTGAACTTGTTTTTTTGCTTTCAGTTTTACTTACCCATCCAGCAAAGAGGTTAGCAAAGGAGAAATATCTGCAAATACTGCCACTTGTGAATCAGGTGTGCTATAAACCCTGAGAAAAATAAAACAAGATTCATTCAACCAATGATCACAGTGAGTAAGGAATAAGAACAAAAATAAAATTACTCAATGCAATTTTATGTTAGTTTAACAATGCCAATTTTCTTCAGAAGCCCCTGAATAAGGAAGAATTACTTCCACTCTGAAGCTATGTTAGACATCAGGAAATTAAAATAGAAGAACAGTAGAGCCACAATTATATTCCAACAATCAGATGGTAGTCATTTAAAATGTTTTGAGGAGAGCCAAGGCCGAAGGCCCTTGACAACTACAACCTATTTCTAGAGAGACAGTCATGTTTTATGTTCATAGAAATGCCAAAAGAAAAGGAAGAAACTGGAGCCTTTGAGTTCCATGCAGATTTTCTTCAAGACTAAAAAGGATCAAAGCATAAAAAGAAAAATTAATAATGAATACAAAATGTCAAGTTAGCTCTAATTGTAAAGGGGGAGGGAGGAAGAAAAAGAGAATATTAATAGTGTGTAGATATGCAAGTGAAGAGATACGTATGGCCTTAGGTGGGAACACTGTGACCAGGCTCATAAAGAGGTTAAAATTAGATACAGAGATGGTCTGTTGAGTAACTTGGCATTGAGCACCATAGGAAATCACGAATTAAAACAAGTATTTTTGACAGGACTCAAGAACACATATAAGAAGCCAATGCAATGGATAGTGGGGATAATATAATCCAAGCCCGCAGTCCAATAATTAGAACTACTGGCATGATTTTATGGCAACCCTAGCATCACACATTATGATAGTTGTCAAAGCTAGATAAGTCTTACCACTCTTTCTCCATCAAATAAGCCTAAAAGTGGTTTATCAGCTGAAGCTGCTAAAATGTTTTGAGCAAGAAGGTCATTTTAACCTCTAAAGAAACTATTGGAGCTATTGAGCTTTATTCAGATTGCAAACCTGTTCTTTTAGGACAAGAAAAAAAATATATTACCACAAGCTGTGCATAGTATATTGACAGTCACATCCACCCACCCCGAATAAGAGTTAAGCCTTTTTAATTTTTTTCTCAATTACATTTTCCCCCCAAATGTAGTACAGATAGTCCTCAACTTACAACCCTGATTGAGTCCAAAAATTATGTTATTAAACAAGACATTTGTTAAGTGAGTTTTGCCCCATTTTATGATCTTTCTTGCCACAGTTGTTAAGTGAATCACTGCAGTTGATAAGGTAGCAATTGGATTGTTAAGTGAATCTGGCTTTCCCATTGACTTTGCTTGTCAGAAGATCTCAAAAGGTGATCACATGACCCAAGGACACTGCAACTATCATAAAAATGAGTCAGTTGCCAAGTACCTGAATTTTGATCATGTGACTGTAGGGATGCTACTGCAATGGTCATAGGTATGAAAAATGGATGTGTCAATATTTTCAATGCAGTTGTAACTAAATCACCGAATGAACTGTTGTAAATAGAAGACTACCTGTACCTTTTTGCTTTCTGTGTGGCTCTAGGAATCTGTTTATGTGAATACCATGCCCTATATAGTTGTATTTGTTGTAACATTCATCATGTGGACGTACTACTGCATGTGTAGAGCAGGGGTGTCAAACTCGTGGCCCACAGGCCGGATGTGTCATGTGCTGGGTCTGCCCCCACCCAGTTTAGTGAAGGGGGGGAAGTCCCGATACATCACGTGACACCACCATGACGCTGCAAGTTTGAAACCCCTGGTGTAGAGGAACAGATTCCTACAGCAGATTGTTCGTGAAGGGGGTTGTCACTTGATCAGAAGCTTAATTTGGAGGTAACACAACTATGCATTTTTTTTTAAAAAAAAAACAACCTAATCTGATATTCTACAGCATTCAAAGAAATGGGGATAAAGCCATCTGCTTTTTCCATTTAGCGGGAGCTTGGAATTCTTATTTGTTCCAAATTTTAAGCCTGGATGATTAAAGGGGAAATCCTCAAAGGAATCTTGGGATACTAACAGACTGTTATAAGTTCTCACTGCAAATCCTATTTTCTTTAAAAAAAAATAGCACACACCAAAATT